GAGCTACTATGAAACTGGAGTCATAAAATTCCTCCGAATTGATGTAACTACCTGCCAAAAAGAGCATAAAGTTGGCAGCACTGGATTCCTCTGAAAATTGCTGACTCTCGACGATTTTACACGGTGGCATAACCTCGTAGGCTACATTCATAGGATACGATTATTATGTGAGCGATGAATGGGAAAGGATCCGAAAGGAACAACCACGGCCGATTTTAAATTACTCTTACAAAATTTGGCCGATCACAGTGGCCTCACCGTCTAAGGCAGGAACAGTCTTCGCCCGCTCGGACACTGGGCTCGTGGGTTCTAATTCAACTCGAGGTATGGATGTCTGCGTATGTTTATTCTGTGTATTGGTAGGGGCCATGTAGCGGGCTGTTCCCGCGTCCAAGAAATCCTACCGACAGTGTATAGGTTTAAGAAACTGAAAAGCGACCAAGGTCCAACAAAAAACTGTAAAGCTGGATGGACGGACGGACGGACGGACGGATGGACGGATGGACGGATGGATGGAACATTTGTTGTTATGGCTGAAGAAACGCGGAGGAACAATTCTACGGAGAGAAGAATTGAACTGGGATATGCTTGACATGACGCGGGTTGCTGACCCCGAGCCCAGGAAGGAAGAAAGAGACGATATGCGAATGAGAGTGGGTGATGATGTAGAAGGCAGATCAACGTGATAAGGGAAAAACAAATTTCTGAAAAATTGGGATTCAGGAGGAGAGTGAGTGACGTAGAATTTACGATTTGATAAAAAGAAAGTGGAAAGGAAAATGAGGCTGAGGACTTTATGAGGGAGTGACGATATTTTGAATCGGAACACATTACATACGCATTAGTAATAGCTAATTAACTCACTCATTCCATAAGGCAGAGTCCGTCTTCAGAAGCCTGTCATGGCTCATGTTGTCAAGCAATTCCCGCCTGTAATGAAACACACTGGCTCCTTACCACTCTCAAAGGACGCCGTTGTTTGTGTCTACATTTGGCCGAAAGAATTCGCTCCACATCCTCAAAATCTGAACGGCGTACTCAGAACCTAAACACGTTACAATATTAATTTGTGTTATTTTCCCCCTCTCTTTGTATATCTCCCAGAAAGTCACTTCTTTTTCAGATTTTCGGACTACGGTTCTGAATACGTACATCTTCATCGTGATATATGTTCCGCTAATCTCGTTCTATTTGATTTGATTATGTAATAATTCTGACGAAAAGTACAAGTTACGTCACTCCTTATTATGCAGTTTTCACCAATCTCATATATTTCATCTCTCTTCGATACAAAGATTTTCCTCGGAAATCTTTCTCAACAACCTTCCGTCTATGTTCTTATCGTACGCTAATAGACAAAATTTCACTACAAAACAAAGTAACAGGTTTAAATGTTGTTTGATTATTATTTAGGTAGTTATTTCATGGATTAAAAATTTGGAAAAATTTAACATTTTCAAAAATTTTTAAAGTTTCTTATTACCCCGTTAAGTGTTTTCAGAAATAATGCATATCAAAATTATACCAACTGATGGGAGGTAACACGAAAGTTCGTAAAATTCTTTGGAACGAGATTTCTTTATCTTAAAAGTATAAGCGTGTTTGAGCCTTGCTGGACACTGATAGCGGTATTTTGTATCCTCAAATTAGTTCTAAGTAGTAGGGCTTTTTGAATTCTTCGGGTTCAGTAAATATCCTTTGTAATAAGTGAGGTCTATTCTTTCAGATAAAGAACATGGAAAACTACTACCCGCAGCGTCTTTTGTTTCTTTGGCAGGTAGTCTGTAGACAGGAATGAAAGTTTAACCCCATGTTATGGCTGTAAGGGGAGTGTTAACTTCGTCTGTAAAGCCGCCAGGTTTTCACATGATGCATTTTTATAGTATGCTCTGTAATTATTTTGCGGTTCCAGGCCTTTTATTAGCAAGAAGGGTATGGAAAAAGTATTTGCAAGGAATACTGTGGCAATCTTATGTGACATATAGACTCATTCATAGACAACGTCCGAAATACGCGCACACAACAATAGAAAGGATATTGGAAGAAATGTTTTCTTTGTGGACCGCGCCGTGCCCAGTGTTGAACAATGGACAAATAAACACCAAGAAGAGGTGTTTTCTATGTGGTCCGCGCCACACATTCTGACATATGACACGTGCTTTCTGTGGGGTCCGACCCAAGGTTATATAACGGGAGTATGTTTGTATTTAGGGAAATTAGAGAATTGTTGTGGAGGAACGAGAGTCAAGAGAATGGGAATACAATGGCATACACAGAGAACAACAGAATTGAAAGTCAGTTCAGTTGTCGGCAGGAGACAGCCACTGGAGGTTAGTAGTAGAACAAGAATTAGAAGTCAGCTCTGAAGACTTGGTGTATTAGAAGATTTCTTCACAGTGAAAATGTTTCAATGTAACTAGCTCCTCTATAGGTTCGAAGTTCAAATTAAAGCGTTAGTGTGAGGCTCATTAGAGAGCCCAGGAACATCTAAAATCTAATCCATCAATCTCAGTCGCCTCACAACATTTGTATGTTAACTGGGTTAATGACAGCGATGACTTGATATTTGAGTTTTCCTGATATTCACACGCACATAGGCCACGTCACTGTGTAATGTGATATAGCCGAGGGGTTTTCACTGATGTTTGTCCAGCTTGATAAATCCAGTGAGCAGGCAACTTGTCGCCCTAGTTGCTTTCCCAAATAATTATTTTTAATTGTTTTTTTTTTGTCGTGGGTTGGGGTGAGAATGAGTCCATTTGTTAATCGGCCATTATTGAGCCTATTGTACAATCGCGGATAATAGATGAGTATGGAACAGTCGGTGGAATGAGAATTGGCAAGGGAAATATCTACCCAAGTGCCAGTTTGTCCACCACAAATTTCACACGACATTATTTAAGATTGAACCCGGGCAGCCGCCGTTAGGAGCCGGTGACTAACCCCTTGAGCTATGGTACAGCTTACCCAATTAACTCCTCACAGCAGTGCAATTTTAACAAAGCTGATAGTCGCTCCCCTAGTGAAGAAATATCCCGTATTTTTTTTCCCATGGGTTGAGACTCAGATCAATAGTACTGCGGCCACTGTTTGACCTATTGTAACAACCTCAGATGATAGTGATAATGATGATGATGATGATAATTGTGGAGCAATCGGTGGAATGCAAATTGGCGAGGGAAACCGAAGTACTCGGTAGAAGTCGGGATAGCGCATTTGGTACAGCGGCTGGTTACGGGCTGGACGACCGAGAGGCCTAAGTTCGGAACCCGGTAGGGTCAAGAATTTTCTCTTCTCCATGTTGCCCAGACCGGTTCTAGTGCCCACCCAGCCTCTAATACAATGGGTACCGGGGGGCTTTTACCTCTGAGGTAAAGTGACATGGGGCGTGAAACTAAACATTCACCTCCAGCTAGTGCCGAGGTCAAGAAAATGTGATTCTATATATCCGCTCCCCCATACGCCTTCATGGTGTAGTGTTTAATTAGTTAAGGACAAGGATAATTTTACCTTTTTACCGAAGTACCTGCCCCAGTGCTGCTTTGTCCACCACAAATCCCACATGAACTGAACAAGTGCGCTTCCTTCCGCATCCTTTCTAATTCATTCTTCTCTTATAAACATGTTAGGTGCTATGCAGTCGGAGATATTGAGAGCATCCTTAAAGAAAGAAACATTTCTTGGTTGTTTAGTGACATTGTCAGCGTAGACAAACAGTTGTTCCCATCAGACTTACCGGGTAAAATACTGCACGTATTTCTCTTTTTTCTTATGCGTGCTACAGTTGCCGCTCATCTCATCCTAACTGGTTTGAGGTTCTAGTAAAAGATGGTAACCGCTCAAGATAGCCGAGCGGTCTAGGGCGTGTACTGTCTTCATTCGCTCGGAAGCTGGGATCGTGTGTTCGAATCTCACACCAGGCATGGGTGTATGTTATATGTATATGTTTATTCTGTGTTTGTGTTATCCCGTGTTTAGGTAGAGGCCTTGCGACGAGCTGATCACTCGTCCAAGGAGTCCTACCGTCTGTAAAATGATCAAAATGAAAACAAACAAACTTCGACACGGTACGGTATAAGAGGAATGGATTAAGTAAGTAAGGCATGGTGACGGACACAAATTATGCAAGTTTCTCTAGCCTACACGGAAATACGCTGCGTGTTAGTTAAAATGTATTATGCATGTAGGAATGATAGACAGTAAGCCTACTGAGAGTAGAATCCACTGACTGTCAGATGTGAGTTTGTCTTGTCGTCACGGTAGCCGAGCGGTCTAAGGCATGTACTGTCTTCGCTCCCTCGGAAGCCGGGATCGTGGGTTGGAATCCCACTCAGTGTATGGATGTGTAGTGGTTGTGTGTGTGAGTGTGTGGGTGTGTACAGGTAGAGGCCTTGCGACGAGCTGATCACCCGCCCAAGGAGTCCCACCGAATGTGTAAGATCTAGTAAACCGAAGTGAAACGGGGAGTTTCAGCCCCAAAGGAAAAAAACTGATTTTTTCATGGTGATCATTGTGAAGATTATTGTCCTCCTAGAAGTGTCGCCTTGCAGTGTACGTACCTACCTTTTCGGAGGAAAGTGCTGTTTTCATCTTCAGTCTTCCACCCTGAAGCTGGAAGCAGTCCGTTCCTCCGAAACATTGGCCTCAGGTCTAAATTCAGAATATGCCTGGAAGGACTGAGGAAATGCACGAAAAAACACAAGGAGGAGTAACGGCTGAGATTCGAACCGGGCACTTATAATTTGAATAGCCACTCCACAAAAATTTGCATATTTTCTGTTTACAAACATTTCTTAGAGGTAAAAAGAATATATTTTCAGGTCCTTACAGTTGTAAGTTACAGGGGTTGACTGCTTTTTAAAATAGAGCTACAGTTTGCGCTATCTGGTGGCCTTAAGTGGAAGCAATCCTCTATCTCTATTTACCTCGCTTTTTCTCTCTCTCTCTCTCGCGCTGCCACACGCGTCTGTTGTTGGCCGAGATAGTCAGTTGCCGCCAAGTCATCGAGTGTGTAGGTTAGGTGGGGTATCTGCTCAGTTATACTTCGCATGCACAACTTTTCGCATCGCGGTGATGGTTTGCATTTTCATGGTTAGTTCGAGATTGTGCATTGTGATTTAAAATAGGAAACTGACTTCGGAAGTGACAATTGCGTGTGTGTTTTTTTTTTCGTTTCCGGGTTATTTGTGAACAGAAAATACAACGAAATATTGTATTACTGGTTTCCTTTTATGTACAAAGAGCAGTTCATTGCTGTTCCAGCTGGGGCATAGAATTCGAAACTGCTAGCCCGTGAATTAGACGTAGTTGAACAAGTAGTGTAGGTTGCTCAGTTTATTGCATTCTGTTTAAACCGAAGCACTGTATGTGTGAATGATACAGTTTGCCATTACGTATAAGAATAAACAGGAATTTGTGAAAGTGTTGTGGCGTTATCAAGAACTGTGCATCAAATACAGCATCTAGTAAATACACAGTGGAAAATCCGGCATTCAGGCGAGTGCATCATTATGTAAGTATCTCTGCCTTGTTTAGGTAGCTGTTGCTCGAATTTCTATAGATTATATATTTACATACGCGTGCAGCTGAGAGAAGTAGCTAGAATAAGGGAATCTTTGACAAATGTAAGTCTGTTAGGGCTTATTGATGTTTGCCATATTAGGTTTATATTGGTTACATCTCAAATAATTAGGATGTGTTCAGGAACACACTTTATTTTCACAACATACCGCTACATACAGCCGCGTTTTGATATAACAGGATAACCTGTGGAAAGAATAACGCTTTTTTAAGCAGTGCTAGTCCCCAAAGCGTATGCCTTACCATATTATCAATTAGTACGATAGCAAGTGTAATGATTGTCAGCTGTTTTTTTCTCTCTTCTTGTTCCCACTATGGATCACGCGGCTGATTTCTCAGTTTCATAATCGGTTTACAGACGGTAGGGCTCCTTGGACGGGCGATCAGTTCGTCGCAAGGCCTTTACATAAACACAGGACAACACAAACACTGAATAAACTCATACACACACCAAACATCCATTCCTTGTGTGGCGTTCAAACGGAGAATCCCGGCTTGCGAGCGAGCGAAGACAGTACATGCCTAAGACCGCTCGGCTACCGTGACCGGCGTTTGTCAGCTGTACATGCAAAAGAAAGAACGTCATTATGTTTGTGCCCTACGAGACACAGAAGATGTAATTCCAATACGAGAGGTTCGTAGGTCGAGTTCCAGAACTGGCCGTTGTGACTGTGTGTTTCAGACCTTTATATGAAGTCTTATACTTCATAAGATACTAACTTCGAATCCAGGTTTAAGACAGCTGTAAGCGTATTATTCTTTAAGTAAGATCCTTCCGTGTAGCACGCATAGGAGAAATAATAGATGCATTCAGAATTCAACTCGGAATTATAAAAGGTAGAGACATTTTGGAAGACATGAGCGTACAAGTAGATGTCAGGTTAATAGTAAAATGTATGTTGAAGAAACTGATTGTTATAATGTGAGCTGGATTCGTATGGTTTTGGTTCAGTTATGGGATCTTGTGAACACGGTTATTAACATTCGGATTTCATAAATGTTATTTTGTTGTTGTTTATTTAACGACGATAGCAGTATGACAGACTGCATGGGCGTTGAGGATTCTGTGAGAGCCGGAATGCTTCAGTAGCGGAGCGACGACACTGCAACATGTAATTAATCTAGTTATTATTATAGGCGGCCTCCGCATGAGTACCGAATGCTGTGTAGTAAACCTACATTCGACAANATGGTTTTGGTTCAGTTATGGGATCTTGTGAACACGGTTATTAACATTCGGATTTCATAAATGTTATTTTGTTTTTGTTTATTTAACGACGATAGCAGTATGACAGACTGCATGGGCGTTGATGATTCTGTGAGAGCCGGAATGCTTCAGTAGCGGAACGACGACACTGCACCATGTAATTAATCTTGTTATTACAGGCGGCCTCCGCATGAGTACCGAATGTTGTGTAGTAAACCTACATTCGACAGAATGGGACAGTAATAATTATTTTTTCTTTCGGTGTGCTACTTGTCTACCCGCAAGATGGAGGCACCAGGCTTCCACCGAAACTTTGAACATTTATCAGACCGTACGGTGTAACATCCCAGTAGATTGTAACCTTATGTTCTGTAGACTATTAGCATGCGACGTTTCTCCATACATAACATGCTTAGAAATCTTCCACTTTATAGTTCAGCAAATAGCATTGCTTCAACGAAGCCAGAAGCATCAGCGAAGATTTCCCACAGTCTGCACGAACACGCGTGTGAATTTTATTGTCATAAGGACAGATATCCATGTATCGGGAACTCAGTAGTACTCCTGTGTGTGCCGTCTAATTGGACAGATACCCATGAATCGGGAACTTAGTAGTACTCCTGTGTGTGCCGTCTAATTGAACAGATACACATGTATCGGGAAGTCAGTAGTACTCCTGTGTGTGTGCCGTCTAATTGGACAGATACACATGTATCGGGAACTCAGTAGTACTCCTGTGTGTGCCGTCTAATTGAGCAGACACACATGTATCGGGAACTCAGTAGTACTCCTGTGTGTGCCGTCTAATTGAACAGATACACATGTATCGGTAAGTCAGTAGTACTCCTGTGTGTGCAGTCTAATTGGACAGATATACATGTATCGGGAACTCAGTAGTACTCCTGTGTGTGCCGTCTAATTGGACAGATACCCATGTATCGGGAACTCAGTAGTACTCCTGTGTGTGCAGTCTAATTGGACAGATACACATGTATTGGGAACTCAGTAGTACTCCTGTGTGTGCCATCTAATTGGACAGATATCCATGAATCGGGAACTCAGTAGTACTCCTGTGTGTGTGCCGTCTAATTGAACAGATACACATGTATCGGGAAATCAGTAGTACTCCTGTGTGTGCAGTCTAATTGGACAGATACACATGTATCGGGAACTCAGTAGTACTCCTGTGTGTGCCGTCTAATTGGACAGATACACATGTATCGGGAACTCAGTAGTACTCCTGTGTGTGTGCCGTCTAATTGGACAGATACACATGTATCGGGAAATCAGTAGTACTCCTGTGTGTGCAGTCTAATTGGACAGATACACATGTATCGGGAACTCAGTAGTACTCCTGTGTGTGCAGTCTAATTGGACAGATACACATGTATCGGGAACTCAGTAGTACTCCTGTGTGTGCAGTCTAATTGGACAGATACACATGTATCGGGAACTCAGTAGTACTCCTGTGTGTGCAGTCTAATTGGACAGATACACATGTATCGGGAACTCAGTAGTACTCCTGTGTGTGCCATCTAATTGGACAGATACACATGTATCGGGAACTCAGTAGTACTCCTGTGTGTGCCGTCTAATTGGACAGAAAACTGAAGTATTCCCGAGTGTCAGATTTCCACATTTTACAATAAATAATTCTCCTTCTTGATTGTCTACGGATTAACTACCCACCCGAAAGCAAATAATCTATTATGAACCGTCGTTGATGTAGACGTTTCGGAACACATGAGAGCCTGTCCGTAGTTCTTATGGTTACAGATACATTCTAGTCTTAATCATAATATTACATTGTAGCATCCTGTTGCGAAATCATGACATAAAGGTAGCTAACAGATGTTTTGAAAATGTGGCACAGTTAAGATATTTGGGAACCACGATAACAAATGGAAACCTGATTCAGAAGGAAATTAAGAGGAGATTGAAATTCGTGTAATGCTTNCAGACACACATGTATCGGGAACTCAGTAGTACTCCTGTGTGTACCGTCTAATTGGAAAGAAAACTGAAGTATTCCCGAGTGTCAGATTTCCACATTTTACAATAAATAATTCTCTTTCGTGATTGTCTACGGAGTAACCACCCGAAAGTAAATAATCTATTATGACCCGTCGTTGATGTACGCGTTTCGGAACGCACGAGAGCCTGTCCGTGGTTCTTATGGTTACAGATACATTCTAGTCTTAATCACAATATTGCATTGTAGCATCCTGTTGCGAAATCATGACATAAAGGTAGCTAACAGATGTTTTGAAAATGTGGCACAGTTAAGATATTTGGGAACCACGATAACAAATGGAAACCTGATTCAGAAGGAAATTAAGAGGAGATTGAAATTCGTGTAATGCTTACTACAATTCAGTCCAGAAGCTTTTGTCTTCTTGTCTGTTGTCAAAAAACATAAAAATCAGAATATGCAAAATTATAATTTTTCCTGTGGCTCTGTAAAAGTAAAGCTATCCCTGTAAGAGCCCGTGAAGGCCTTGGTGTCTGACATTAAGGAAGGAACGTTGACTGAGGGTGTTGAGAATATTTGGACCAGATAGAGATGAAGTGACGGGAGGCTGGAGAAAACTACATAATGAGGAGCTTCATAACTTGTAATAATTGCCAAGTATAATTAGAATGATCAAGTCAATGGGGATGAGATGGGCATGGCATGTAGAACGAATGGGGGAGAAGAATACATGTAGGATATTGGTTGGAAAGCCAGAAGGAAAGAGACTACCAGGAAGACTAAGACATATAGGGGTGGATAACATTAAAATGGATCTTAGGGAGATAGTATGGGATGGTATGGATTGGATTGATGTGGCTAAGGATAGGGACAAGTGGAGAGTTCTTGTGAACACGGTAATTAACTTTCAGGGTCCATAAAATGCTGGGAAGTTTTTGAATAGCTGCACAATTGGCAGCTTCTCAAGTAGGGCTCAGCTCCATGAGTTAGAGCGAGCGAGCATCCTGTTGCACTTTTCACTTACGTCGATTATTCACAGTCTTAAGTGCAACACCACATCTCGCAAAACTAATTAAATTTAAGAGTTTAAAATTTAAAAGTTCACTACATGTTTCTGCCAATATGGCCATCGTCAGGCGTTAAAAATATCTAATTAGGAAACTGCTGTCTTGTGCTTTTTTTGTTCGGGACACGCAACGAAAAACACAGCAAGAAAGAACACAACTTACCAACTCCTACACACATGCTCATCAAAAGGACCTGCATAT